CATTTCTCTAGTAGATGCAGGGTTACGGAGTGGTCCAAATCTTGGGGTAAGCTCTGGGACTTACTGCTTAACAGTGTGGGGAATCTTCACAGCATAAGGGGACTGATTCTACGTGACACCGCACCGCCTTAACCACCAGTGGTTACAGGACCGAGAAGAGGCCCAACAACAGGGACAAGGACGTGATGGAGGGAGGAGCACAGAAACATAAAGACCTCCATCCACCTGGCTAACACAGTACGAGCAAGCTACTACAGTCTGTTTATAAATTACTACTTCACACCTGGTAACTTACTACAATTGTAAAAAGGGTTAGACATGAACAAAAATGTATCTTAAGTTAAAAACACCAATTCAACCCCGTTTTTAAAAAAAAAGGAAAGGAGAAAAAAAAAAAAGCTATTATGTATTTTTCTTCAGACACGTCTCATTTCTAAATAGGTTTGGAAGTGGCCTGTCACACTATCTCTGAACAGGAAGAGCTTACCCAAGATTATAAAAGTAAATATTTGAAACAATGTCCTCTCTGAGCAAGCAACACTGAGTGTGGGTCGTCGTTGGTCCACGTGGAGTACAAGCCTGATTTCTTTTTTTTGTAGTTTTGGATTTTTCTTACAGAAAACACTTGTTTTCACATCTAAAATTCTCTTTAAATACAAAGCGCCTCTTCTGTTATCCCAGCGTCAAAATCATCTGGAGATTAGCTTAAAACATGGACACCCCGAGGACCTAGAGGAGAGGGGGAAAGCAGTAACAACCAGTTCAAGTCAAAGACATTTAAGAAATCAGTAGGCACAAGACAGGTAGGTACTAAGAAAACAGTATGGTATGATTTACTCCTTTTAGACAAAGTATGCAAATTAATGAAATGTAGGAGTTGCATTTGACATGTTTTATAAAAGAGAAGTAAATGAGTTTCACAACTTTAAAAATAGGAATACTTTGGTCATACTTAGTCAAAACCAAACTGGTTGGGTCATCTAATTATTTATTTTTTTAAATGTCAAAGATTCAACGAAACAAATGTAACAAATGTGATTCTTGAAGCCAGCCACCAACACAAAGTGTAGCAATAGCAAGCTGTTTTTAATGTTGTTGATATCACGATGCACGGAGTCAAATGACTTTCTGACTTTCTATAGTTTGCTCACGCATTAGATTCATAAATAAACTGATAAAATGTTTCTTTATCAATCATGCCATACATTTGAATAAGCTAGTGTGTGTTTTATTTGGCTCTGCATGCATGTTATGACCGAACATTATTCCATTTATTAGGTTTTGTACATATCTAAGCTAGACAAACAAAACCCAGGCCTATTCAGATTCTTCCAAGCCCAGCAAGGAAGCACATTGTGATCAAAAAGCACAGCCTGATCATTTGTCAAACCTTTTAGAATTCAAATTCAAATCAGGGAAAAAGGGATCTAAGACAGAGTTCTTGTGAGCAGGTTGTGTGCAGCGCTGAAAGCAGCTAAGTCTTCTGCGTGTTGGTTCCTCTCTCAGAAAAAGCATAATAGAACCAGACGGCTCGGTGTTTGGTGAAAAGAAAACAGTTTTTCTGCTGCTTTTTGTGACTATGAAATAACTCAAAAGTTGACATAAAACAGACACATTTTCTAAGTGCTACAGCGAGGCAGAGTGGGAGCGTTTCGGTGTGAGAACGAGCGCAGAGGCTTCCTGAGGCTGGAACATGCTGGAACAGGAATCTAATGCCTGCAGTGCATTCGGAATTAAATGAAAAATTGGCGTGTTTACACAGGCTAAATGTTGGCTTTCCAACCAATGAGAGATGTTGTGTTTGGCGGCGGAGCGTGCAGGCTGGTCAGCGGGACTTGTCTAAATGTTTTGCACCTCCTCATTCAGCACCCCCAAACACAACGTGCCCTGAAGTGGTCTGTGTAATGGGACTGTTTGCAAGACATCCATTCTCCATTTCCTCACATACAGTTGAACTCCTTTTAGTGCGATTATGAGTTGTCTCTTACTATTCCTCACAAGCCACACACACACACACACACACACACACACACACACACACACACACACACACACACACACACACACACACACACAGAGAGAGAGAGAGAGAAGATGCAACCTACCGATTCATCCATGATAGAGGCAGGGTCAAAGTAGTCCGGCTTGAGCTCGGATCTTTCACGGCGGTTCTTCGAGGGCGGCTGGAAGAGAGAAAATGTGTTTAGAGTAGAGCTGGGAAATGAATACAATATCGATATTAGGGGTGCACCGAATGGGAAATTCTTGGCCGAAACCGATACCGAAAATAGGAAACAGTTGGCCGAATGCCGAAAGCGATTAATAGAAATATATATATAGAAATATATATATATATATATAATGTATACATTTTTTACCAATGTTGTTCAGCTACCTGATTATGGAAAAAGACATGATTATGGCAAAACTTAACTTAAATAATAATCACTATTATGGGTCCATAAAACATTTATTCAGCACTTTTGAATGCATACAGTACATTAATTCCAAGTCAAGTGCATTTTCTTTTCTCTGTAGGATAACTACAACAAAGTGCATTCAGAACAAAGCCAAGGTGCTTTAAAACTGCATAAACATCTAGGCCAGTAGGCCTGCAACAAAATAGTGTAAATAAAGACTGTAACAGCCAGGCCTTCAACAACAACAAATGCACCTATAACTTTGGTAACCTAACGTGTTGTTGTGATGACGTAATCAAAACGCGGCGACAAGCACGGCGCGCGACCATGCTCGCCACTTCGGATTACTCCACCACTTGAAATCAAAACACCCGGACAAATATGCGGAGTATGATCAACGTAACCCTGTTCTCTGACATTCGGTGATATTTCTTCGGTGCTAAAACCTTTTTAACCATTTTCGGCCGATCATTTTCGGTGGCCGAATATTCGGTGCATCCCTAATCGATATGGTGATATGAGACTAGATATGGTCTAAGATTTGAGATTGTAATTGCAGAATTGTCATCTTTGTCTTGTTTTAAAGGGTGAAACAGTCAAATGATGTGTTTTATTGTAAGCAGTTTTATTATGGGCCTTTTCCCACTTAGTCATAAAATCCACATTACTGATGATATTTGATTAAGAGTCAAAGGTCAACCATCAACTATTGCAATACCTATAGAGCTATCTGATAGACAATATCGTAATGTATGATATTAGTCATATCGCCAAGCCCTTGTTTAAATATTCCACAAACTCTTCCTGCTCCATCTGCTTTTTTGCCCAACGCTGTGATAATATGGATTTCAGCAAACCTGCTGTATTAGTTAAATAAAAAGAGGATAAATCATTTCAGCAGATATCTGCAGCGTTGTCCTCATACATCTCAATTCTGAAAGATGTGCAGCGTGAGGAGTGCAAAACTAGGGCAATTTCTTGGTTGATTCAACATGACATCTGGATTATTGAGACAGAAAGCAGCATAAGTGAAGAATCCAAATAGACCTTTCTCTGGGATAACATTTGGTTCTCACTCATCATACATCGTGCTTTTGCGTTGTTAGGGTAACCGGTGAAATGAATGCGTCATGTTGCGCTTACAAGTCGTCTTTCATCTTTTAAAACAAACAGATACATCCTTCAACAGCCAACAATTCCCTTTGATGATCTCCTGTCTTTTTTGCTCATTTTGATGTTACATGCTAATATGAACACAAGCTGCTTTGTTATGGATTTTTGTATGTAAAACAAATCAGTGTATTCTAAGAATAGCTGCCATGTAGGCAGAGAATGCAAACAAAACCAGTAACCAAGTGTAATTCAATCAGAATATATTCTGGGCTGAGCCATGGCAAAGCTAACATAGTTAGCTGAGTGCTAATAAAAATCAAGCCGAATGGAAAAACTGAGGGAGGGGGCTGACACATTCTGGAAACTATGTGGCCATAAAACAAAAGATCTTGATCGGTGGTCTTCGAGTTCAACATTCAAAAGAAAATGATAAACAAGAGACGATGAGAAGTCAAATCTCATGGAATGAATGCGTTTCCCTGGCCGATCCGAACCACACGGCTTTCTAACGGCAGTTAAAGTTTCTTGTGTGTCTCCACATGAGGTCTTTGGCCGGCCACTTGTGAGCTGGCGCCAGCTTCAGGATAGCATGCCATCCACTAATAAGGCTTTCTGGGACTTTTTAAGGGCTTTTGGAGATTTTTGAGGTTTTGAAAACGATTGTCTTCAGAATATCTCAGAATTGAAATCAGATTTCATCTGTTTCTGGCTGTTTGAAAAGATATCTAGTATTGCGACTGCAAAATAATCAGACCGTGATGATTCTCCAGATGCAACATCTGGCCTTAATGTCCGGGACCAGATGTTACATTTGTAGCAACAACAGCAGCTAATGTTGCCTCCTAATGGCCGTTTGACTAAGTGTCTGAAGAATACTTTCCTGTTTGTTGAATCTGATCTCCAGAGATCTAAGAAGTCAACAGGGTGTTAGTAATGAAAAGCCAGTGTATCACTGCTGCTGTAGAGAGGACTTTAGAGCATTCGGCTTCATTTGTTTGAATTCTTGAGCTTTACAGGGTCCGTTTTCTTTGTTATTTATTCAATATTATCATTTATTTTTGAGTGAGCTGGTACATTTCATCATACTGTTGTGTCCTTTATGTGCATCTCTTGCCTGTACTAACTAAAAGAACACCGCCTTTTTATTTAGGTACGAATGAATAAACACTTTGAGTTAAATGCGCCTCTTACCAGATCAATGTCCATGGTGTCAAAGTCCATGCCTTCGTTGAGATCATCCATGCGGCCCTCTGATGACATCATCACATCCTCCACGATTGGCTCTTCGTCTTCCTCCATCAGCCCAGTGCCGCGACGACTGCAAAAACAAACAGTTGTTCAATTATGGAAACGTAACTTCAATGTTCACACCATGTGCAGGTGTGTGTGTGTGTGTGTGTCTTACATGGCGTGCTGCAGATTGGTCCTGAGCTTGGCGTAGTTCATGGCTCTTTCCTGCTGCTGGCGTGCTTCTTCCTGTTGTCTCTGAGCCAGCATCCACGTCACCTGGGAACTGCACGCACAACGATTTTTACTCCACATGTGTTTGGTAATTAAACTGGAGATACTACAATGATGTCAGACTGAAATACCAGGCCTGGCGCCTATGAAAAGTCAGGTCGGATAAATGAACTACTCAGTCACTGTCCCAGCAGGAGCAACACTTGGCAGGGTGTTGAGTACAAGCATCTTGCAGCCGTTCACCCTCAGAAATTAACTATCCTAATGAAGTTTGGCTACATATTCCAGTCCGTTGATCCCATTCGTAGAGAAGAAGTGATCAACTCAACTGTATGATGGGCCTGGCCTAGATACATTTATAGAAACCTCTGGTAGGAGTCTACAGGGTTCAAGGACAACACATTTAAAGAAAACAGTTTGTGAAATTCCTGGGCAAAACTGAAATCCACAGAAAAACCCTTTTCTTTCCCCAATGTTCAAAGTGTAAGAATATTGCCAATTTTTTTTGTGAAAGTTTGATGTTTTTAACAGTGGAACTGAACGATCGATTTAAATACTCCTATTCATAAATGCACCCTGAGGACATTTGGAAAGAGTGAACACTTGTCATGAATCTTAACTTTTATAAGTCCAAACTACTTTTATGTTGGCCGGTTATTCATTTTGCACTGAAAAAATATCATTTGAAAACATGTATTTTTTTATTTGAATATTGTTAATTTATCAAAAGGAGAATCCAATTGTAACGGAGAACAATTTCAGTGCTGCACTGAAGTGTATTTAGAAAAAAACGTTTTAGTAAAACTGGTTTAGTATGCAGGAAATAAATATTCTATAGTGAAGTAGTTTTAATACAAGTATACATTTTTATGTAACTTAGATTTTAATGAACCAGTACCCCCTTGTTACTGTGACATCACCCCTCGGGAATGAGGCGCTGACAAACACTCACTTGTAGTCCAGGGGGGTTTGGTGCTGCGGCGTCTGTTGATGGTGCTGCGGTAGTTGATGGGGCTGCGGCTGGTCCTGGGGGAGGGGGTACACTCCCATGAAGCTGTCATCACGCCCCCTCTTAGGGTCTCGCATGGCAGTGGAAGTGAGGTGGGGGGACGGCAACATGATGGGGGTCTGCATGCTCTGCTGCCAGGGCTCGCTGCTGCTGGTCTCCTCTGCAGGGGAAGGTCAGAGTGTGAGACAGGCTGCACAAAACTCACACTTCACGTTCCATTATGCTGCTTTCAAGGGCCAACATTCCTCCCAAGCTCTTTATACTGAACTTCAAATCAAAGTTAGCAAGTTAAGGATTGTTATTTAATATCGTTACAAAAAGACAGGGATCTTCATCATTTGTCTTTTTTCTATAGCTAAAACCTTTACAAGCAATTCAATTTTAAAGTCCTAATGCCTATATCATTTTAATATTATTTTCTGTAGCAGTTCCAGTCATATATTTTCTCAAAATTGAAATGACATTGTTCCTAGTACCATATCCTATGCCAGGGTTAGGCTAAGTGTGATACCAAGAACATGACCGTAATACTGGTGAACTGATATACTGAAGGGCCTGCTTTTCATCATTCAACAAGAAATAGCATTTTGAATAATCCCCTCATGCAAACTTTCCAATAACATTTGTATTATTTTATCTCCTTATTTGAATCATTTGCTTTAGTTAGACGTAGGCCTACATGTGGCAGTCTTGTTCTAAGCTATATGCTATCATTAATAATTAATGTCATGATCTACAGATGTCTGTCAGAACTTTTGTATTCAAAGTGGGTTTAAGTTGACTTAAAACCCCCCCCCCCACTTCATTTTGTTACATTTCTCCCACGTAAACAGACTCAAACTGGGCTTGTATATGATGCAAGCAGATAACTGATCATGAGAACATCCTTGGTCGTCAGTAAACCTTTAGCGAACACAGACAGGAGCCGACCACCATCTGCTGTTTAATCTCCTCCGCATCAGATCGCCGGGCATCTGGGTTAATCTGGGCTCCAGCCCTGCTGCTGTAACATCACTGATGGGCTGGGCTCTAATGTATATGGTTCACATGAACACCTGGACTCTAATGTATATGGTTCACATGAACACCTGGGCTCTAATGTATATGGTTCACATGAACACCTGGACTCTAATGTATATGGTTCACATGAACACCTGGGCTCTAATGTATATGGTTCACATGAACACCTGGGCTCTAATGTATATGGTTCACATGAACACCTGGGCTCTAATGTATATGGTTCAGTGTTTGTGCATTGGTAGGGAGTGGTGATGTTTATAGACAAACAAAAACGCAGGTGTAAAGTTTTAAAGCTTTAGACAATGTATGTATCTGCCTGCCATGACTGATCTGAAACCTGTTTTTGAAACCCCTATTACGTTACTATTAATATTTTAATTAATTTTACTTTTATTTTTTTATTCTTAGGTTTGTATAAATATGTGGTCCTTTTTATTGGATAGTTTACTTTAATGCCTTATGTTTGTATATTTCACTTAACTTTATTTTTGCATATTTAATTAAACTTTTAATTAATATTAGTTTTTTTAAATGTGACTTTTATTTATTTCATGCAAAAAAAGGATCAACATTCACAGAAAGAAAATATTCCCCGGGGATAAATAAAGTAGTTTGATTCTGATTCATGATTCTACGTAGTCAAAAAGGCATAATGATTGTGTGGGTTCCTTAGTGGGGGATACCTTCTGGCAGCTTCCTCTTGGCTGCTGAGGTTCCAGCTGTAACAGCCGGGGGTTTAATCTTCTTGGAGCGGACCGAGGACCCTCTGCTCGAGTAGCCGCTCATCACCGACATGGTGTCGTCATCGCCGCCGGCCTGCAGGGAGTTCCTGTAGGAGATGAGGGGCAGCCAGCAGTCCTCCCGCTGCAGCGCCATCTGGAACGTCATGAAGCGCTCCAGGTACATGTGGCTGAGGAGAAGCAGAAAACAAGATGAAGAAACTCATGCATCTTTGCAGACAACCAGGTGCACATTCCAACTGGGGGGGAAAGAGCCGCGTTGCACGCATCAGAGACACCAGTTGCACCAGTTGTCACAAACACCTGTCACACCGAAGACCCCCGACTGTCGGCTCGGAAGGGAAACACTTACACAGTCCTCTTGTCTTGTCTCATGAGCTTGGAGGAGAACTCGCTGAGGATGTCTAAGAAAGACAAGTTGAGAGGCGGGCCTCCCTCTCCCTGGGTGCTTGGATCTTTAAACGCAAACTCGATACCGTCCCTGAGACGCAGAGACAGAGAGAAAGAAGAGAAACACTGAGCAAAAGGTCATGGGCATAAAATATTTCATTCCGACTGTGTAGTGTCATATAGGAAAATGAAGTCTAACCATCGGAAAATGTCACATGTAATATATTCAGTTAGTATTTTGAACCGTGGTCATGTTGTACTAGTTTAAAACATTAAGTCCAGCAGCTCGAGTTAAACGACTTTAAGAGCTGAGTTTTTAAGAAGCTTCTCTCAGTACCTCTCTTAATACCTTTTATCAACAGATTGAGTGAACGTTTGGAATACATATAATAAATACTTAATGTGATTATTTTGGAATTATTTGCACCTGCGATATGAATCATGGTATTTGAGAGATTGATCATTATTGAATCAGTTCTCATTGGAAAAAAAAGATGAAATGATTAAAGAGTTCCGCTCACTTTTTCGAAACAAATCCAACAGATTTGAAGAATTTTCTTCAGCCGTGTTAGTTCTTTAAAGCCTACATAACTGTCTGTTCTTCTCACAATCAGAACTAAGTGACACATTCAATCATAATGTATTCACACTGCAATAATGTAATGCAGCGCTACATAGACTTTGTACAGTTTAGTATCTTAAATACTAGATGGAAACAAAGCTTGTTTAGCATGTCTGTCATTTCTTTACCGCCTGTGGCACATCTGGCATATCCCGTTACATACTGCGCCCATGTGTTGCACAAGTGTACGGGACGCAAAAGCTAGCGTAACAAATGTGCATACATGAGATTTCCTGGAACCTGGCCGAGATGATCCCGTTATAATCCACATGAGAAATGAATTGTGATGACGCTGGTGTGTTTACAAATGTGGAGGACTGTGAGCCTTTAATACACTCGAAACATTATGTACTTCTTAAAAAGGTCAAATGTGTCACTGCAACAGATAGTCTATAAACACGCTGGTGGGAATTACACGATTTAGCCACAGAAGTTAGCATTGTTACAAACTGAGAGGCCCACATTTTGCTAGACACGGAACACATTGTGCTGCTCTGGATCAAGTATGCAACAGAGGAGTCGTGTGTTTGTGGATCTGTTTCTCTGCTGCGCGTTTGATTTTTTTAGAGTTGGGAAAACATGTACGGGTTATTGGGAAAGGCAAACGTGCAACATTATATCACTTAGGGCAATCATAGATCCAGAAGAAAGAACAACATGGCGAGCAGAAGCACGCTAATCAAAGGGTTATTTGTCTAACGTGACAGTTCCCAGATGCCAAGCCAACAAATGTAACAGGAGTGGAACGAAGCCTTACTTGTGAAGCATAGCGATAGCGTCCCTGGTTTTCACTTGGTCGAGACCGAAGGTTAGAGAAAAGCGTCGAGCCAACTCTTTGATTCCGCAGAATAAAGAGGAGGAGCGGTCGAACCCGTGGCCCAGCTCAGACAGCATCTCATGGAACAGCTAGAAGAAGGAGAAGAGGAAAACATAAGACTAACCATCTCTTACAAAGTAGGACGAAACAATTAAAAGTGACTGAAAGAATGAACAAGGGAGCAAAAGTGTGGTGACTGACCTGCTGCAGACTGATGATGAGCGTCTTGGCACACTGAATCTTGTCGATTTGCCGAGTCTTACTCATAGTCTCCTTGATGATGTCTCCATAATCATTGTAATACTGCAAAGAACGGAGGAAACATTAACATGTATCCCTGTAGACGAAAGGATTTATATGTGTAATGATAAGACAGACAATGTACCATCTGCTGCATGTGTACAGTTCATTATTGGCCATTTTTTATTGATCAGAACGTACCCTCATGTACTGTTTAAAGATGTCCGCTCCCGTCTTCATGTCTACCACGCAGAAGATGATGAGTTTACAGTAGGCAGCGAGGAGGTTTCTCCTCTTGTGCAGAGCTTCAATCTTTAGCGCCTCGTCGTCCTGTTGCCCGTCTGAGATGATTGGAGAAGAAAAAGGGAAAGTTACAAGCTGCACATTGGCCGATTTGCAAAAAGTGCATGTGTCCACATAGCGTCTGTATCTAGCAGAAAGGCGCCCGGAAGAGGATCGTTTCACCACTGTAGTATGACAGACCAGAATCGCCACTTCGCACCATTACGATGAACCTGGGAATGCTTGCTCTAACACTTTATATGAATGAGCTTCAGCGTTCAGTCTGACAGACGTAGATATAATAAAAGTACAAAACTCCCCGGCAACAACATCCAAGGTCCGGCCGAAATGTGCTTTTCCATCTCTGTTATGATAGGTCCGTTCTGTCCGAGGCCATAAACAAGCTACTGCTCCAGTTTTTAAATAGGGATGTCACCAAACCTTTTCTCAAAAATGTTAAACTATTTCTAACTGCCAGGGCTTGGAGCAGGCACACAAAAACAGGAGAAGTCTCAGAAAAAAAAGACGCTGGGTGTAAACCGTTTATCAAGAATCTGCAAAAAAGAAGCAACAATTGAAAGAGACCCTGGCGCTCAGAAGGAGGCACTTAGTGGACCCTTACTTGCTGCCCTTGCTTTGGGAGCGGAGCAGAAAGTAAATGAGCTGCCTGACTTGGTCATTTGTACCTGTGCTGTTTGTTTCATCGTCCTGGTCTATGAAGACATGGTTCAGGATGAAGGAGAGCAGCTCCACCTGCAGCGAGTCCTCGGGGGAATAGACCAGAGGCTCCAGGTGTTCCCTGCCTCCGGACACCATCTGGTGGCTGAAGATGAGAAGGAGATCACACAGGATGGTGAATGCCTGTAGGAGGGAGGAAGGAGACAAAAAGGTCAGTGTGGACAAGAGCAGTGCAAAATCACTTGTTGCAAGTGATGTTCCTGAGAACATGATACAGGGGATTTGATATTATACATCAGTTGTGAGGCGCAGATGGTCCACGTTAAAGATATGCATCAAAGATGTTTGCAACGACTGCTGCTACACATGTCAATGTCATATGCACGTGTGTGTGTCACCTGTTCTTTGACGGCTGTGTTGACATTGGTGAGGTAGCGCTGACACATCATACAGAACGCCCTCATCTGCTTCCTCAGGGTAATCATGTCGTCCTGATTTTGTATAGAAAAGACAGATTTAATTTGTGTTAACATTGATCTTTCAAGTTCTCTTTAAAAACAGTGCAGAATAGGGCTATGAAGTTTGTCTTTTAGAGCTCACCTTTTTGGAGTTGCCCTCAGAGGACTTGGCCAGGTTCCACAGGATCACATAGTGGGTACACTGCAGAGAGTGGATGACTATCTGCTCACCAGAAGAGAAGAAAATCAATCACAGATGAGTTAGCTTCATTACTTTTCTCAAAATTTCACTTTGCGCGTGTGTATGTTTACTAACCTGCTCGGGCATGTCTCCATTCTCTATGCCTGTGTTGAGAAGCTTGAAGTTGCTGGTGAACAGGTCCCACCCCGACAAGTCATGTGCGCTGCAACAGGTGAGAGGAAAACTCCAGTCAGTTTCAGACACATGTAGCAGAGGTACATTATTGCTATGTCTTTAGCACAGGAGATTGGAGAGGGGGAAGGGCATGAGGAAACGGTACTCAAATACAAATAAATGTCTTACTTGTGGAAAGCTGTGATCCTCTTTATAGTTGACAAAACCTGATAAGCATCATCTTCATCAGCCTCTTCACCCTGGAAAGACACATTTGGGAACCGTGTTCAATTGTTATGGTTTACTCATCTGGTAAAAAGACTGAGCCTCCCAGTGCAGATACAAACACGACTTTTCAGATCAAAACGTAAATGTTGATTTGACATGTTGGCAGGGCTCGACAGTAACGGTTGCCAGGTTGCCATTGGCAACCATTCAGAAAACATTTCAACAACTTCTTGGCCTTTGGTCGCCATCAGTGGCAACCAGTTTTGACATAAAGAAATAAGGACAGCAAACAGCTAAATGTGCACCCCAAAAGAGATAAATGCTAATTATTTGTTAACATAAGTCTTGGGACGCAAAATATATATGTACATTCTGCTCCGTTGTCCATCCACTTCTGGTAAAAGTTGCTAAATAAGAGTCCCGATCTTATTACTACCAAAATAAAAGTGCAAAATGAAACTTTAGCGTGTGAATGGTTTTAATTTATTTAACATTAGAAATGTATTAGTCTGGCAATCCAAGACTTCAAAGCTGAAGGGCCAGTGGATCTATGGTGGGGGTCAGCACAAAGGTCAAGAGAACCCACATTTGAAAGGGAGACAACGGATGACCAAGAAACTAGTGACTTGCTCAATTTATTTGTGAGGGATCTGTGAAGAACATGACAACAGCTGCAATACTGGTATTTTATATACCAGCAATTGAGGGTGGACAAGTTTCCTACCACTTAGGTTTCAAATAAATGCTTTACAATAAGTAATTAACACAATTATTTGAAACCTAAGTGGTAGGAAACTTGTCCACCCTCAATTGCTGGTATATAAAATACCAGTATTGCAGCTGTTGTCATGTTCTTCACAGATCCCTCACNATCAAAATACCTATACCACAGGACAATTTTATTTTTTTTAAGCAATATTTTTAGTGGCCCGAGCGGGCAAGTGGAAAGTACGTTATGCTGGCCCGGGTGTCTAAATAGTGCTTCCGAGCCAGAGGGCCATTTATAATGTCGAGCCCTGCTCTCTGTNGTAAAGCATTTGAACATTCTTTTGTGTCACATGTTCCTTATTACGTTGATGCATAACTGTATAGTATCTTAATTATTTAAAATATAAGGTGATTAAAAATGGTAACCGTATTTCAGTTTTGGCAACCAAAAGCTGATGCCTGGTTGCCAGCCTGGCAACCACTTCTAAAAGTTAGCGCTGAGCCCTGTGTTGATTGACACACAATTTAGTACGTGTTTCAAATGTACAGGATCCCATCCCTGCAGGTTATGTTGTTCAGTAAGAAAAGCCAAACACAAACACAAACACATTGCATCATAACTTTTGAAATTAATCCTCACAAAGTCTTGGACTAAAAGTCTTATTGCAGGTAGGGCTGGGCGATATATCGAGTTTACACGATACATCGTGGATTGCACTACATGCGATGTCGTAAATGACTACATCGTGAACATCGAGTATTATGTTGTCAAATCAATTTCCCGCCGCGGCCAAAATGAGCTTTCCTTTCTCCCTCATAGACACAGTCACACACGCAGGCACACACGCAGGCCCCATCTAACTTGCACACAAACATTACACACATGCACAGTGACAGAGAGCAGGGCTCGACATTATAAATAGCTCTCTGGCTCAGCATAACGTACTTTCCACTTGCCCGCTCGGGCCACAAAAAATATTGGTTAAAAAAAAAAAATTGTCCAGTGGTATAGGTATTTTGATAAGCAATGTTGTTAAATTGTTTCGTTTATTAACGCTACAACATAGCGTTTCGTGAGGCGGTTGTCGTTGTTGGGTGAGCAGGCTCCCGTTTGCCCGTGAGCGCCGGGCAAAAAACTATCTTCAAATAAAAGAAAGTCACCGGACGAGTTAAAGGAGAGTGACAGGTAGCATGAGAAGAAGAGGGAGATTTCTCTCCCTCTTCTTCTCATGCTACCTGTCACTCTCCTTTAACTCGTCCGGTGACTTTCTTTTATTTGAAGATAGTTTTTTGCCCGGCGCTCACGGGCAAACNCTCTTTTAATACTTTTCGCCTCATTCTGAAAGAAAGAAGTGAAATGTGCCAACGTGACGGCCGTCTTGGTGTGTGGTGCGAGACGGGAGCGGTTTCACACAAAAAAAAGTGTTACTTCACAGTTTCACGACACATTTTTATTATTTTTTTTTCAAAATTATCTTTTAAATTGACAAACATCATATGTGTAATTCGTGGCACAATTCAAACGGGATGGAAAGATAATCTTTCTCTCTCTCCATTGACTTCAATACATACTTTTTCCGAAATAAGGTCCCATGGAGTTCCCCCGGAAAGGGAGGGACTTCGTCTCTACTCAGCAGGGATTGTCTGTTTTATTCCCGTTATATAACAGCAGGTCCCACCGGGCATCCATCTGTTGGCTCACTATGCATTCTCACCGCAGCATGCTGGTTCACTTGGCAAACACGCTCATTACATTGCATTTAGCTGACTCTTTTATCCAAAGCGACTTACAATAAGTACACAGACGCTCGTCTGTTATGTTTACGATGCCTCTCATTCACCTCTTACTGTAGCATTCTGTGCATTAAGGCTTCACGTGTGACCAATGTCTTTTGTTCTGCTCTCCATTTCAGCTCCAAGAAAATCAGGATGAGATTGAAAACATGATGAACGCCATATTCAAAGGAGTGTTCGTTCACCGATATCGGTATGGCTTCCCATAATGCTCATCTATTATTAAAAAAAACTGTGAAGTTGATTCTGGCTTTTAAAGCATTTAGCGAAACTGTATCATCGCATCCTGTTAAACAAACACTTATGTGATGCTTTCCAGTGATGCGATAGCAGAAATCAGGGCGATCTGTATAGAAGAGATCGGAGTGTGGATGAAACTCTATAGCGATGCCTTCCTCAACGACAGCTATCTGAAGTATGTGGGCTGGACGATGCACGATAAGGTGGGTCAACATTTCTTTAGCTCTTTTTCTAAATATTCTTCTAACACACACGGTCCAGCGGGAAGTTATTACTTTATTTTGCTCATCATACCTTTTCACGACTGTGTGAAACAAGTAATAATGTGAGTTATGGCTGCACAGCTAATCTACATTTTATAAAAATTGCAACATGGATCAGTGCAATATTCAAATGGCAGGAAGCCCAATGTTTTAATGCAGAAAAGGTGTTAAAATAACATTTTGAATACATTTTTGTGGAGCTGTAGTATTATCCGGCTTAAAAACGCATTCTACAAACTCAACAAAATATATTTTGCTCCAAATCCTCGTTTTTAATGATCACGAAAATTCTGAAATAATATTTTTTTAATTTAATAGCTTAAATCTCATCGCAATATCACCAAAAATAAATCGATAAATGTGCAGCCTTAATTTAAAGCCCTCCTTCTCTTACCTTTGTTGAATCTGTAGGTGTAGCCTACTTTTGATTATGTTGATATTACAGGGAGTTCTGTGGTGCCACATAATTCCCAGTGTAGCTGAACGTCAGACTGAGCAGATGTCTACTCAGGCAGAATAATTGAAAGCACCTGTGTGGGTGTGCAGGGCTGTGAAAGGCCCAATCAATGACTCAATTGTTAACTAAGTGTAGCAACAGGAATCCAGAACACACAATGAATGCCTGCTGTTACACTGCCATTGATTCACTAATTCTCTAATTGGAAATCAAAAGGAAACAACGAGTTATGTTTTCAAGGTTTATTTTTTGTAAACACAAGAAGGAAAAGTATTCGATGAACTTAAATGACTGTTTTTTTAATTCTCTTGTGCAGCAAGGCGAGGTACGTCTGAAGTGTCTGACAGCTCTGCAGGGTCTCTACTACAACAGAGAGCTCAACGCCAGACTGGAGCTCTTCACCAGCCGCTTCAAGGTCAGCACCACCTGCTGGACACTTCCCTCACAACAGCCTTATTGTTTCAAACGTGTACACATGCTCTTACGACCGTGCACTGACAGAATATCACCTACTAATCAGTTGCAAAATAAATGATTTCATCTTTAATTGATTTCTCTCTGCACAGGACCGCATTGTCTCCATGACTCTTGACAAAGAGTACGACGTTGCAGTACAAGCGATTAAGCTGCTCACTCTAGTGTTGAAGTAAGTGCCTGTGTTCTTGGTTGTCTGTGTAATATTATTTCCATATATAAATAGAGCATAGTATTTGTGTTAAAGGCTCACACTTTTCAAGAATCACCTCAAGTGCATTCTGATAACTACTTGGTTACTAATGTTTACTTTCTTATTTGCCCCTGCAGTAGTACAGATGAAGTGCTGACTCCTGAGGACTGTGAGAGTGTGTATCACTTGGTCTACTCGGCACACAGGCCCGTCGCCATCGCAGCTGGAGAGTTCCTCTTTAAGAAGTATGTCCGACTGAAATCCAACTTCTCACTGAACAGAACAGCATTAGGGGAATTATCTTAGAGGCTACTTGGGAAAGGAAGAGAAAAAGCAAGTGGTTAACATCAATGGTCATTTAAGGACGAGAGCATTTCTGGAGTAAATATCGAAATACAGTGAACAGGAATTGAGGGCTGTGATACGTTGAGATTTATCGAAATTCTGATCCTGAGGCCAGTAAAGATTCACACATAAAGAAAATAGTATGTGAGGGTGCATTAACAACTTTGTAGCTTTTGCATCACTGAGTTTTTCTAAGTTCACAACTTGTTTTTGTGTTTAGTTCATTTAACAAACCTGTCAGTCCTCAGTTTAGCTTGTGTGTTTGCATTGTGCCACTTGCAGTTGTGTGTTTACCAACTCATGCTTTAATGTTCTCACAGATTGTTCAGCCAGCGAGAACCAGAGGAGGAAGGTGCCCCCAAGAGGAGAGGCAGACAAAGCTCCAACGCCAACCTCATCAAGACCACTGTCTTCTTCTTCCTGGAGAGTGAGGTATGTCATCACGCTGTTTGGATAGTTACTCTCACACATGGGCTAAAGTCTTTCCTCCCAGTGTCCTTCATTTGAGTGAACATGTCCCCCCCCCCCAGCTCCACGAGCACGCGGCCTACCTGGTGGACTCTCTGTGGGAGTGCGGTCCAGAGCTACTGAAGGACTGGGAGTGTATGATCAGCTTACTGCTGGATGACCCGCTGCCGGGGGAGGAAGGTGAGGCACCGGTTTCTAATTCAAACCAACGTCGCTTGTGTTACGCTTCTGAGCACCAACAGATCATTCTGATTGTTTTATGTCACTTCTTGCAGCTCTCACGGAGAGACAAGAGACGGCCCTGATAGAAATCATGCTGTGCACTGTACGCCAGGCGGCTGAATGCCACCCACCTGTTGGGAGAGGAACAGGGAAGAGGGTAAGAGCGGCTCACACATCTTCAAAGAATGCTTAAATGATAATTCAGGTCTTTCTTCGCAAAGGCCTGACTGTAATAACAGCCATTGATCAATCAGTCAACTTTAGAGATGGATCAGTGCTAAATCTAAAGGCACTTTATGTCCACCTCACTTGGACAGTACATTTCTTTTTAAATAAGTCTTCAACCATCATAAGTGATAGGACAGCATTTCATCTTCTTGCTTTGTCTGACAACTGTGTTTAAGGCATTTAAAGATAAAAACATTGTTTTCTGCGAATGGTAGATTGGATTTGTTGGAGCGTGTTAACAGTTATTGGCTGATATTGGGGAATGTATGACACTGTTTAATGCTCGTGTTTACACATTTGAGATAAAAGAGCCTGCTAAATGTTTTCCCGCCATTCTGCTTGGTATTACCTGTAGACAGTTCATGTGTAGCCATTTCCTTAAGGACTGTAGTTACCAAATCTGGTAGGATATTATACCATTCACTTTATTTGTTACCATCTAATAGAAATTAGATTTTAAAGTTCTAAAAATAAACTTTTTTTTTCTTAAGGGATATAACTTAAGAAGCCTTTTGGTCGTTTTAAAAAAATATATATATTTGAAAGCTAAACTACTTATTGACCGAGCAGGATAAGTTTACATTTTTTTTTTTTAAACAGTTGAGATATCTCTCAGACACATTTTAAAACCTGCTACTCAAACATTCTTCTTTTGAACTGGAGCTACATACATCTCTATAAATGTGACATTTGCACATGGCATCAACTTAACCCGAACTCTAACCGCAAATAGCCTCTTTTGAAAAGTGAACTCTACAGAAAGTTCGATGTGCAGAATAAGCTCTAACTCTCTGCATGTACGATCAGGTGATGACGGCTAAAGAGAAGAAGACTCAGCTGGATGACAGGACCAGAATGACGGAGCTGTTTGCTGTGGCTTTGCCCCCTCTGCTGGCCAAGGTATGATACAGCTACTCTGTGTTCTCAACAAGTGTTCTGCCTCTGTGTTCATCTGTTAGAAAACATAACGTTGAATGTTTGTCCCACAGTACGCCATGGATTCAGAGAAGATAACTAACCTCCTTCAGCTGCCTCAGTACTTTGACCTGGACATTTACACCACAGGACGTCTAGAAAAGGTAAGACAGAAAACACTAGTTAAATAAGAGAAAATTGGGTTTGTTTATTTAATTCTAAAGCCGTTTTTCTTCCTCATTGACTGCAATAACACATGATACGTCTCTCTTAACGCAGCACCTGGAGTCCCTGCTGCGTCAGATCAGGGAGATTGTGGAGAAGCACACAGACACTGACGTGTTGGAGGTCTGCTCCAAGACTTACCACGCCCTCTGCAACGAGGAGTTCACCATCTTCAACAAGGTGGACATCGCCCGCTCCCAGCTGCTGGATGAACTGGTGGACAAGTTCAACCGGCTACTGGAGGACTTCCTTCAAGAGGTAGGAGTGACGGGACGCACGTGTTCCTTGAACACGCATGGTTTTACTCATCACTCTTCTGGTCCAATGGGCCTGCCCCTCTAACACTTATCTACTTAACCACATCATAAATTCACCACCATGTTTTTCCTTATTGTTATGTTTCACCTGAAAATGTCAACTTTGATTTACCTGCAATTAGGGCTGGGCGATATGGTCTCTAAATGATATCGCGATATTTACTGACTATATCGCGATATACGATATATATCGCGATATTCTGAAATGTCCTCTAAAACACATACATTTTTTTTATTTAACCCCTTGATGTTTACAGTCACGCCAGTATGATGATTCTAGTAGTCCCTGCAACATATGTCTGCATTAAAAAAATCGACTAATAATGAAGAAAATTAACACATTTGTTGCAATAGTAATTTATGCACTAACTACATTACTACTTGTATCAGTATCAGTTCTTCCTCATTTTCCTCAATTGTTCATATTTGGTTTATTAAAATAATGATATTGTGGTCATTGTTCAAAAATGTCTGCTATTATTATGAGTAGTATTATTATTATTAGTATAATGCGCTTTCTGTCTTCCTGTCATTATCAGGAGTTAGACATGTAATGGCTATGTATTAGATTAGATTAGAACCTTCATTCTCCTAACCTGCTGGGACATTTCCCTATAGCCAATACCTTTTATATTTTCTACTCTTCACTTACTTGTCAGCATAGGTCGGCATTGATGTACAGAGCCGACAGAAGACCTTGTTTATATTGGCATCATATTGAGAGGTGCAGTGACGCGTCCTAAAACCAGGAAGTAAGCTGCTGGTTCCCTCGACAAAAAAGCAATGGGATTTCTCCATAGGGTTTTGGAAAATAGCTGGAAATAAGGTCTGTGGAAAACAAACCTGTTTGATAAATGCACGTTTTGTTCAGCCGGATAATCTCCACATGTCTACCCTACTTTTATAATTTTCGAATCATAAATCTAATCGATAGATTATAAAAGGGTTTTAGGACGCGTCACTGCACCACTAGAAAACAACTCCATCGATCAAGCTGGCTGAAACTTTCTCTCCCTCTTCTTCTCATGCTACCTGTCACTCTCCTTTAACTCGTCCGGTGACTTTCTTTTATTTGAAGATAGTTTTTTGCCCGGCGCTCACGGGCAAACGGGAGCCTGCTCGCGCTGGCTCCCGTTTGCCTTTCACCCAACAACGAGAACCGCCTCACGAAACGCTATGTTGTAGCGTTAATAAACGAAACAATTTAATAACATTGCTTATCAAAATACCTATACCACTGGACAATTTTTTTTTTTTTATGCAATATTTTTAGTGGCCCGAGCGGGCAAGTGGAAAGTACGTTATGCTGGCCCGGGGTGTCTAAATAGTGCTTCCGAGCCAGAGGGCCATTTATAATGTCGAGCCCTGCACTCTGTCACTGTGCATGTGTGTAATGTTTGTGTGCAAGTTAGACGGGGCCTGCTTGTGTGCCTGCGTGTGTGACTGTGTCTATGAGGGAGAAAGGAAAGCTCATTTTGGCCGCGGCGGGAAATTGATTTGATAACATAATACTCGATGTTCACGATGTGGTCATTTACGACATCGCATGTAGTGCAATCCACGATGTATCGTGTAAACTCGATATATCGCCCAGCCCTAGGAGGTCGTAGGGTATATTGGGTTGTACAAGGTTTGTATCCCTTTTTGCACTATAAACACAATCTATTGGAGAGGATTAGATCCTAGCAAAAGTGATATGTTTTCTAGATCTGAGATTAAAGTCAGACTTCAGAAAAAACTCTGAGATTGCTTAAGGTTTGATTTCAGAATGCAGAAGATGTTGGTTGATGGTCTAGGACAATATTTACCCCTATTCTCACTCCACAAACTTAACTCAAATTGTCCCTCTGCTACACTGTACTGAGAACAAATCATTACATAAGGTTAATGAACCTCTTGAAGCCCCCACGGACCCGGGTTCCTGCCGAAAATCGCGTTCATTTTTGCAGGAAACAAACGTCTAACGGAACCCTAATATTGATAAACTATTGAATTATTTATATCCATATATGGGGAAACTCTCATGTTAACCTGATGTTTTTCATTTTTTTTTTCCAAAAAAAACACAACAATGCTAACAGTGAGCCTCTGAATTAGCCCCCGAGCGAAAAATGCTAACCTATTACTCCACCGAAAAATCACTCCTAAGCTTCCCCTTATTACTTATCCTAGCTGCACATTCAACACATCGTTTATGATCGAAAGACGCCAGAATCTAACGGTGGCCCACCCAACACGAAAATACCAAACCTTGCGACGTTATCAACAAAAACCGTACATCCAAGAACATTGTGGGCGCTAGGTAGGCCCACAACGGCAAACATGGGCCTTACCTTGGTTTTGTCTGGTCAAAACGGGTCTTCAATTGCATTAAAACGATAAAAAACGATGCTGTAGTTAATTCATAGTTAATATCCAATGTGACTGTGTCCCCATGAAATGTTCTGATAAATCTAATAAGCAATAACTGCAATTCCGTTTTATCGTTTTAATGCAAATTTGAAGACCCGTTTTGGACCAGACAAAACCCAAGGTAAAGCCATTGTTAAGCGGGTTGTAGGCTACCTAGCGCCACATGTTTTGATTGTACGTTTTTTGTTGATAAACTCGCAAGTTCTGTATCTTTCAGTGTTGAGGTCGGCACCCTTTAAGATTCGCGTCTTCACGATTCAAATAAAACGGATGTGCCTTGAATGTGCGGCCTCAGGATAAGTAATGAAGGGGAGGCCTAGGAGTGATTTTCGTTGGAGTAATAGGTTAGCATTTCCGCTCGGGGGCTAATTTCAGAGGCTCACTGTTAGCCATCTTGTGTGGTTTTTTTTGGAAAAAAACATGGACACAAACATCAGTTAAATGAGAGTTTCCCATTATATGGATATAAAATATTCATAGTTTATTCAAATATTAAGGTTCCTTAGACGTTTGTTCCTGGCAAAATGACGCGATTCGGCCCAGGAACCGGTCCGGGGGGCTTAAGGAGGTTCATTAACCTTATGTAAAAATTTTCTCGTACAGGTTAGCAGAGGTGACAATTTGAGTTAAGTTGTTGGATGAGAATAGGCGGTTTAATATGTCTAGACATCCAACCGCAACATCTTCTGCATTCTGAAATCAAACCTTAAGCAATCTCAGAGTTTTTTCGAGTCTGACTTTAAATCCTCAGATTCTAGAAAAAACATATCCACTTTTGCTAGGACTCTAATCCTCTCCAATAGATTGTGTTTATAGTGCAAAAAGTGATACCAAACCTTGTACAACCCAATAACCCCTTCACGACCCCTCNCGGAGCCCTCTACTGGACACTATGGGTACTTCCCCTTGATCCTATCATACAAGCATTTATCCACTGAGACTTTCTAGACGTAGCCGGCCCCGGGGCGGGCCTACCTGAATGCGCACGCATCTCACTGTATAAAAGGAGGCCTCGCCTCCTGACTGTCATCCTACACCTCTCTTCAGCAAGCAGCATAGGACAGACAGGGCCCCTGAGTAGAGGGCAGTGTTTATATAACAAGGGTTACCATATGTAACCCCTCGTTATATCTCTCACAGGCTCCGCCCTCTACCTTCTAACCCTAGTGGGCGGAGCCCCGATGTATACACGCGCTGCCGTCCCACAACAACACTGTTCCATTTCACTGTTTCTGACCGGCTTTCTGGTTAGCAGCCGCTGCGCCTCACTCACCTCTCCCTCGGTCGTAACCGGAGAAAAATGAGGCTGCGGCTGACAGAGCACACCCTGACGCGCTTACCCCGCGGAAGTGTGCTATGACGTGGAGGACTCCCCCCCCACGCCCTGCCCTAAAGCAGGGGGAAAAGAGTCCTCCAGCCCCTATGGGCCCATGTGCGCGTCACGTCCCCCGGGGCCCGGGGAAAAACGTAAGCGCATTACGCCCGGGTAGGGGGTCAGATGCCCAGTGACCCACGCAGCCCCCCTTCCTCCTCACCAGTCCTGTGTTGCCACAGCAAGCACAGACGATGAAAAGGAGCCAAACATGTCCAAGAGATCAAACTTTATGAAGGGGCCTGGCGTTGACCAAGACGCTGCCGTGCATATGTTGACACAGCCATGGCTCGTGTAGAGTGTGCACGGACCCCCATGGGGAAAGCTTTCCCCGCCTGTCCGTAGGCATGTGCAATGCACTGCTCTGCAAGTGCATTGCACATGCCTACGGACAGGCGGGGAAAGCTTTCCCCATGGGGGTCCGTGCACACTCTACACGAGCCATGGCTGTGTCAACATATGCACGGCANGCGCTTACGTTTTTCCCCGGGCCCGGGGACGTGACGCGCACATGGGCCCATAGGCTGGAGGATCTTTCGCCTGCTTTAGGGGGGCAGCTGGGGGGGGAGTCCTCCGACGTCAAGCACACGTCCTCGGGGTAAGCGCGTCAGGGTGTGCTCTGTCAGCCGCAGCCTCATTTTTCTGCCGTTTACGACCGAGGGAGAGGTGAGTGAGGCGCAGCGTCTTGCTAACAGAAAGGCCGTCAGGAAAACAGTGGAAATGAACAGTGTTGTTGTTGACGCAGCGCGGTGTGTATAGCATCGGCTCCGCCGCACTTAGGGTGAAGTATGAGGCGGAGCCGTGAGAGATACTAACGGGTGTTACATATGGCTAACCCTTGTTTATATAAACACTGCCCTTCTACTCAGGGGCCCTGTCTGTCCTATGCTGCTTGCTGGAAGAGAGGTGTAGGATGGACAGTGCAGGGAGGCGAGGCCTCCTTTATTACCAGTGAGATGCGGTGCGCATTCAGGAGTAGGCCCGCCCCGGGCCGGTACGTCTAGAAAGTCTCAGTGGATGAATGCTTGTATGATAGGATCAAGGGGAAGTACCCATAGTGTCCAGTAGAGGGCTCCGCCTGTGTTTATATAGCAAGGGTTACCATAAGTAACCCCTCGTTATTGTTGACTTTTCCAACTAATCAGATTGTAAACCTTGTGTAAACATGACCCGGATTTCCTTAATCAGAGTTGAGTGAAACACACCTAAGTTTCCGGCCAATTATTTGCTTATTGGCCAGAAAATCTGACCATGTGTTTGGATGTGGCACATGCTCATGATAGACCCAGCTAAAGTAATGCTATGACAGCAGTGTGTTAGGAGGATGAACGGGTATATTATTATTACTCATAGTGGCACTGCTTTTTATTAAAAAAACTTAAATCCCATATGGCTGAAATGGGAAAATATCTTTAAGCAGCCTTCAGCATACAACTTTGTTCTAGAGAAATGTCTGTATGTACTTTTGAAGCATCATCAATCTGAATTAGACAAATCAAGTGTTGTTATCTTGTGGAATTAGTCTATAAGAATTAAATGATGACTTTGTTTTACTATTCTGCCTCAGGATGGAATTATATACTTAAAGGTCACCTATTATGCAAAATCCACTTTTTCATGTACTTTCTACATCAACATGTGTCCCCTCTGTGTAGAGAGATTCTGAACGTTTCAGGAAAAAAGATTCGCTCACTGTTTGTGCTTATCCATTTATATAAAAACCTGTCTGAAAATGAGCTGATCAGATTTTGGCCACTTTACGATGTCATAACGATTTTTTTTGGCTTGTGTAACCAGTAACCCCCCCCCCACCTTATCACTTGAATCTCCTCCTAGAGCACCATTGTGTTCTTTTTAACCAAATATCTCTCAGAGGGGTGTTGGGAGTGGGTCCTTATTTTAATCCAAAGTAACAGACAGAGAATCAGCACTTTTGAAACAGGGCTGAAACAGAGGGGATTATGGGATGCTGCAATGCATCATCTGTTTGGTATTTCGAGCCAAACACTTCAGAGACATGTTTTGTATATATCTGAGACCTATAATATGTTGATGAAAAACTATATATTCGGGGACCTTTTAAGAAAACCAGCAACTTCTTGGCTTCAGTTTAGCTCTATAATGCATTTGTTAAACAAGACAGATGTTGTCACCCATCTCTAATATTTGATTAGACCTGCTAATCGGATGTCTTTCCTGCCAATTTGGGCATGAGGAACAATTACAGCAATCAATAACTACATCCATGGGCATATGTGCTCGTAAATGTATAAAGTTATTTTGCACATTAAGGGAATTTAGATTTCTGTTGGACGAATTGACAAACATGAAACACTAAACATACTTAAATAATGATGCTGTAATGTTAATTGGTCTCTGGACAATTTATAAGCAAATCAAATCTGTTGTTGCTTGTAGTGATGTCACTTGATCAATCAATCAATGTTTATTTATATAGCCCAATATCACAAATGTTACATTTGTCTCAGTGGACTTCACAGTTTGTACAGAATATCAGTGTTCTTGAATGCACTTGATGTGCTGCTTACCTTAACCTGACCCTATCACCATGTTTGTTTCCAGGCTTCAAGTCATCAGAATGGGTTTTCTGGTCATGGGATTGGTAAATATGAACATTCCCCCCTTTTTTCTAATTTAATAACTATAGAAAACTTCTCATGTACAGGACACGACTAATTAAATAAAGAGACTGATTGAAACAAGTTGTAATATATATACTAATGTGTCCTCTTTGTTTTCAGAGGTGCTGCGGTCCGACATGGCTCAGAAGGCCATAGAGGCGGGTCTGGAGCCCAGTGTGGTGGAAAAGACCATCCTGGAGAAAATCAGTACGACTGGCTCAGGCTACTCCGACCTGGAAGTTCTAATGGATGATTGTCTCAACGACACAGCAAAGAGCGATGCTGCCTCGTCACAGAGTCAAGGTACTGTACACTCTGAATGCTAAACCAGCTTCATATTAGAATCAGAATACATATGGTTTTGTGATAGTTGCTCCATTTTAAAAAGAAATAAAAGAAAAGATTAATAACAATATAAAAATGTTTTGCAAATGTAAAATGTCAGGGTAGAAAAGTGCAATAATAAGATATAAAATAAAAAGAATAGAGGTATTTATACAAACATTGGGAATTAAATGAAAATGTCCAATAATGTAAATGTATTAATTTAAAATTAAAGTCAAAGTTAAAATGTGCACATTGTAATACAAGATGTAACATGTATCTCACACAGTATATTATACATTGGCGTATTAGCATGAATTAAATATGAATCCTGTGTATAAATGCTAATATTAAAATACTGATACTGACTACATGTAACAAAGCCTGTGTAACAGTCATTTCATATTTATATAATTCCGCCCCCCCCACTTTCTTCCAGATGAGGACCCACTGGAGAAATTATGGAAGCTGCAGAGGGAAAAACAGTGCAAAATATGTATGGACAGAGATATCTGTATTGTCTTCATTCCATGTGGTCATCTGGCCACCTGTAAGCAGTGTTCAGAAACGCTCATCAAGTGTCCAATCTGCTGTGGGGCCATAACACAGAAGCTCAAGACCTACATCGCCTAAGGGAATCACAAACTCTTGCCAAACATTAATGCTGCTTTCGCACGATCTCTATATTGTATTTTAATAAATAATGTAGATGCCCTGTGACATATTTAAAGACCATGTTGTTTGTTTGAGTATGAGAATAAAATAATGAGTCTAAACAATCACTGAGATGTTAAATAGCTGTTAATACTGAGATGGTTTATTATAAATAGTTGATGTTGATTTTATAGATAATAGAAACTTGTAAATACACACTAAATAATAATTATTAGCAATGCAACCTTCTTTCTTGCCAGAGGTGCCTTTCTCTTGGTTGATGTACTCGTGTCTTTGTGTGTGTTTTCTTTTAGGACATTTTCCACAGGGTGATTGAACTAGTCATCTCATTGTGTTTGTTTTATACCCTTATGTGTCCCACTTGTCTATTTTGTCTGGCTCTTTACTAAAATATATAAATGTCGATCCCTAACTGCCCTTTGCTGTATAACTGACACAATCAACTCTAATTAGGGGCCGACAATTAATCGGTGAGTTGTATTAATCGTTTAATCATGCAATCTGTTTGGTCATCAAGAGTGAATAAATCGGAATGTTTGGACTTGAAATGTTTTTCTTGCTTTGATTTTTCTTACTAGTCAAAGAGGACACCAATGCAACTTTACCCACATAAAGGTTTGTATAACTTTTGAATACCAGTATCTTGAAATGTCCAGAAGGAGACGTTACATTTTTAATGAACTATAACCGTTTGTGACTTTTGCATAAAGCTCCTGAAGTTATTAATATTCAAAGAGAGCTCAAATAGTGTTCAGATGTTGATAGTTAAAAATAATTGGGTTATGAGAGCAGGCAATATCAAATTGGTTAATCTGAATATTTTACATAGGGTGCAGATCGCCGCCGGAGCATATGGATTAGTTAATATCCCGGTGTCGCAAGAGGGATTTAAATTAGCTAATTTGACTGAGGTATTATATAAAATACTGAACTATGGTGGTAATAAACTCTCTTCAGTATTTTACCGAAATACTTTCGACTTCGTGACTACATTTGGTTTCTATTTGCGTTTCCCCAGCAGTTTGTAAGAGAGGACAAAGCACAGTCGTAGGATGTAGTGAGCCTCAGTGATCGCTAGATGTCAGCTCATCCTCGGTGTATCTAGAAGCGAGTCCCTCGGCCGCTAGGTGGTAGCTCAACACCAGGATATCCTCCTCCCAGGTCGTCGAAACAACAAACCGAACTACGGAGCAAGCGGGGTGAGAGAACGTCCGAAACCGCCTCTGACCGCGACTTTTAAACTCTTTTAACAGAATTTCAGTGGGATTCAGGCGGAAGCTGTCCAACCATATTAAAAGTTAAGATTCTGCTGGGACTATATTGCACAACAAGGTAAGTTAGCTGTAAAATGGCGGAGAGCTATCTGGAAGTTAGTTGATTTGTATTTTGCTAGCCGTGTAGCTCTAGCTGAGCCCTGAGCGCGGACGCCTGCCTGAACCAAGTCGCTTCGCTAGCTCGCGGTACATGGCTGGTTGTTAGCAAGCTAACGAACTGGGTTTTCAGCACAGCGACGCAAAGTGTGTCGTTCGTACCCAAAATAAACGTTTTGTTGTTTCAGGCAACTTACTTGCACTTTATATATTTGTAAACAAAGTGTTTGTTGCTTATGCAATACGGTACTGGAACTCCCGAGGCAAGATGGAGGACGCAAGGACGTGATGTTTTTTTAGGTAACGTTAGCCGTAGCTGTTAGCATAGCTAACGAGTGGTAGTTCATATCAACTCCTAAATTGCAGCATATTTGTTGGCATGATTTGCTTTATCTTCGGATAAGCACTGAATACGAGTTGTGTGTAGAACTAAGGCTGGTTTTGTTCTCGCAAACATTGGTGACTAGCGTTATTGTGTACTAGCCAGCATTAGCATGCGCTAGTACAGTAGGGCTTGCGTTGTTTTGTTATTATGGACCAAGTACGATAGAGCTCGAAAACGCTGACGTTCTCGATAACCAACGAAAATGCACGGTTCATTCGTAGCCCTTTGTGTTCAATAATTCACAGTTCGCTCATACGGACCAGTGCATGCTTATTTGATCAAATTTCAATTGGTTGACGCTGGGGGAAAAACGCCGAAATCCTCAGTTGCTCAGCTAGTGGCGCTAGCTTTAGCAGAGCACCGGTGTCAATTTTTGACAGGCGCCGACGAAGAGCGCAGCCGTGTCGGCGTTGTTGGAGGGAACAGAGCCGGTGGTTAATGGCATAGTTGACTTGAAGGAGTCTACACTATTGTGTGTTTCAGTAAATCGAGGTATACTCGTCTAGTCTCGCTCCGCAGTAACAAGTTTATGAGATACACTGACCAATTTGGCGCCACTTTTTCAGTCTACACCCATAGAATCCCGTCGTCTTGTCATGCATTATCCTCTCACTACCGAGGAGATATGCACTGTATGCAGGTTTTCAAATCCACAAATATAACAATGAACTTAGAACTCGCGAAGTCCCAACTACTTTATACATATTGATCATGTTGCATGTGTCTACGTTGACTGTGTTGTGAAGATTTCTACGTCGATCATTATATATTCATTAACAAAAAATGTTGGTACGTTCGCGAATTCGCCATGTGGGCCACCACGTTTGGGATATTGTTAGTGTTAATACCATGACGAACGTTACATCTTAATTACCACAGACCATTCATCGGAAGGCTTCTCACTACTCATACATTTGAGTATAATTTAGGAATACGAGTGACACTTGTATGTCATCATCACTGCGTGTTTTTTCGGATCATACGATGAACCTATTGCACCCCGAGCGGGTATCATGGGTGGAGTTAAAAGTCCCTTTCAGGAGTGAATAGTTTTCCCTGGGGTAATTTTATTGTCTTACCCCAGTCTTACAGAGGCTTTTACACGTGTCCTAAATGTCTGTCGAATTCAAAATCCGATTTTTAAAAGTTACATCTGCCCTACCCTTTGATGTATTTGCCCCTAATTTACACATCACAAGCATGCAATAGTTTTTCTGTGGCCTGCAGTATCTTGTTGATGTTGATACCGTCGTTTGATTGGTGGAGATATGCATGGGGCGGATAGGGCAGTGCCATATTTGGCCATTGAGGAAGACGCTCCAATATTCCTTGCGTGACGTTGGCTCTAAACCAAGGGAGAGAGAAAGCGAGGGAGCCAATCGCTACACAGCTTAGCATGACAGCAGCCTCAGTGTCCGCCCACTGTTACCATGTGAAACCGTTTTTCTCTCTGAATGTAATCAAAGAAACATTTGCTCAATACAGAGCATGTGATTTATTTGAACATACACATACATGTGCTTTTGTAGCATTTATTGTTTCTGCTGTGTCCAAACGAGGAATACGTCTGCATATGTAGCTCACTCAATTTCTCTGTCATTTTCTAGGTCACATGCACCCTCTCCTGTCTTTTTATTTTCTGAGGATATAAAGCCAGTCATAAGTTGAAGTTATCCAGAAGATGTTACAGAAATGATAGCAGCACCAGAAATACCATCAGAGTTCACCTATACTCACCAGTAAGTTCTTGCTTCCACTTTTAATTTGCACTGATTTAGGTTGAGGTTGATGATGTGAATTTCAAATCTAATATTTGCTTGTCTCCCAGGGATACAGATACCCGATTCTCTTCAGACACAGACTTCTCTGAGGAACTCGATGGAAGGAGTGCGACCCCAGCCAAAGGAAAGGTATAGAAAGCACATCTGACTATATTAGTTGGAGATATTGTCGTTCTACTTTGTTATTGTCATTTACTGTGGTTTCTGGTATCAATTATTGTGATTTTCTTTTGAAGATCTGCTTTGATTACAAGTAAATCTTGGCATTTTTCATTTTGATCATGTACAATAAGCTGCTTAAAGTTTTGGTAGTTAAACGGGTCATAATTCACTCTGTCTGTTTTATATTGCTGTGATTACATCTGTTATACAAATGTGTTACCAAACCTTTTCACATATTACATTGAGGCACAACATGATAACATTATCATTTACCTTAAACAAATACATTTGTTTGCTAAAAAGAGCTTAAACACAATATAATGTAAGTCAATGCAACCTCTGTAAGTTTAAGCTGTTACCTCCGTTATTTAACCAAACAGAAATTTGCTATGCTATTAGCCAAAAATATAAATAACATTCTCCTGGTTGCATATTTTTTACTGAAGCGAGAACAATCAATAGGGGCATCTCTTGTTTGTGCCCGACTGAGCAAGTGAGTTGCTACATTTTTTTTATCCTAACACAGCATTTTACTTGGCAATCAACATGGTTTTCACCCAATATGTGACAAGTGTATATACAACAAAAATGTTCTTCTCTATAATGATTCTCACACTTAATAACTTATTTTTGTCTTCTATATTGTTCCAGGGTGGAAGGAAGGGGAAGAAAGCAGCAGGGGAGAAAGGCAAAGGCGGGAAGGGAGCGGGCCGGTTAAATGGCCACCACCAAGAGAATGGCATGGAGAACATGATGCTGTTTGAGGTGGTGCGGCTGGGCAGGAGTGCTATGCAGGTAGGAATGCCATTCTATTTGAGATCGCCACAATAAAACAAATCTGTTCCTCCATTCACACGAACAAACTCATTCTATCTAATGGTCTCTTGCTGTACCCTTTAGTTTTCATGCAGTCTGTCGTTGATGATAAAACAAATCTGTTCCTCCATTCACACGAACAAACTCATTCTATCTAATGGTCTCTTGCTGTACCCTTTTATTTTTCATGCAGTCTGTCGTTGATGATTGGATTGAGTCCTACAAAACTGACAGAGATGTTGCGCTACTAGATCTCATTAATTTCTTTATCCAGTGCTCAGGATGTAAAGGTACGTGTATCTATTTAGGTTATCCCCCTCTCATTGGTCCTTTTTAGATGCATTAAGGACCAGAACCACTCAGACGTGTTTGTTACTCTTCTCCTTAAGTTGGTATTCTGAACGTAAAGTAAAACATTTTCTGTTTAACTCCTCTGTTTTAATTAGGTGTGGTCAGCGGAGAAATGTTTCGAAACATGCAAAACTCTGAGATCATCCGACGAATGACAGAAGAATTTGATGAGGTAACTACACTTTTTCCAGTTAAATCATTACAATATCTTACAGGTCATTTCAAGTTATATATTACATTAATCAAATATGATTTGCTACATTTCTTACAGGACAGTTATAACTACACATTGTAGTCGTGTTTTTTTTCTTTGCATTTACTGACGTCCTTCCCTCTGTGGCCTCTGTAGGACAGCGGTGACTACCCTCTAACCATAGCAGGACCCCAGTGGAAAAAGTTCAAGTCAAGCTTTTGTGAATTCATTGCGGTGCTCGTGCGCCAGTGTCAATACAGTATCATCTATGATGAGTACATGATGGACACAGTCATCTCCCTCCTCACCGGACTATCAGACTCCCAAGTCCGAGCCTTCAGACACACCTCAACACTGGCAGGTAGGAGGAGCGGAGACTGTATTTCTGTGTGTGGTTGAGGTACCGCTGAATGGCAGTAATTGGCATGTTCTATACGTAAACAGAGTAGCTATGTGTCTGGGAACAGCAGCCAGTTGGGAGGGATCATGGAGCACTGTTTTTGGCTAATAAGAAAAGCTTTTTTTCTTTATATTTGTATTAGGTGATAGAGTCAATACAACAAATTAGAAAATGATGGCTGTTCAAATCATCCAAATGTTATAGACATTACAATATGAACTTGTGTAATTAGAAAATAGTAGTACGTTTTTAAATTCTGAATAAAGCATTGTGTGCTGAAGAGAAGTTCAGGGGTATTCTACAGACTTAATACAAAATCACAGCATGCTTGATCTAATATCATTTTTCAATGATAATGCTAATAGTGCCCCACTAATATAGCAAATTAAAATGCAATTGTCAAAATATTCACAATAAGTTTATCTTTTTCCAAGTAATGCAGCCCTAGATAAATTCCTTAAACGCTTATTGAACATGGCTGTTTGAACTTGTTTTGCCTGATTAAACTCCCTTGAGTTGCGGCCCCCCTGTGAGAGCAGAGTACCTGACACCTTTATCATGAGCAGTGCTTGTTTACAAATACCAGGCAGCGTAAGTGGATTTACCTGCTATAATAAATTGCCAAAGGGCCCGGATGATGCAAATAATGTGCTCTACTATAACCAGAGGTGCCAAAAGGATTTATGCAACTCTATTATACATTCTTTAAACAGTAGTTGTAATTGAGCATGTGTGGGTGCGACCAGAAAACATTCAAGTAATGTTCTGTGTGGGGAAAATGTCTATTCTCATGGCTGTGTACAACTGTTGCATGCTTTTTTTGTTATGGTGTTGACGCTGGTCTTGGCTGCCCTGTTGGAGCAGTTACAGCGCGGTTTAAGCTTGCCGTGCCCGTTTTTGGTTGCGTTTCCGCTAGGCGTAGTTCTGGCTAGCGGGTACTATTTCACAGTTTTCTGGCCCCATAAAATCGAGGTTCTTAGCGGGCCAACAACCAGGCTGAGTATGCTAAACTAGAGAGAATTGCTGGCAAGGGGGCTACAACTACAACACAATGAACATATTTGACCGTGATTTAATTGTAATAGACGTTTCAAAATGATGCCGAAGTAACAACATACCGATACCGGTTATCAAATACCATGAATTAATGCTTTGACAAGTCTGCAGACAGACGGCAGGCGAAACACCTTTTTTAAAATGCGTGTTTTCTAAATGGTGATCGGCTAAGCTAACGCAGTATATGCTCCGACCGTCCACACTCACAACGGCTTATACAGACATAAATAAACCAACGACTGTATTCACCATGACACAGTCTGGTTTGTACTCGTTTAATTTGTGTCTAGTTTCTGAACAGATATGAGGAGCTGTGAGCTCTGAGGGCTAACAGCTGATGATGTTTTTCTGTGGTTCGCATTGAAGATGACGTCACGGCTCCTTCTACATTGCGTTACTATAGTTACTGCCCCAGCTACTAAACTGTAATGGAAACGCAGCATAAAGTGAGGCTGGCCTACCAAGGCTTAGCCATACCGTACTAAGCCGAGCGAGGCCCTGCAATGAAAATGCACAATTTTAGTTTGTTTGCCTCGTATCATTTCAAGCGTATTCTCATCCAAGATGTAATTTTTGAGGGCTGCACATAAGGTTTGATTTTTTAAAAGGATGTTCTTCCAATATTTAGGATTTGAATAACATTCAAGAAAGTATTTAAAGGTGTTTGCTATCGGCCTGTGCCTCATCATTACTTTTTTAGTTTTGGTCTTCTAAGGGAAAAGTTTGGCCCCCCCTAATAAAATAAAGAGTTAAAGAAACTAAAAGTCATATTTTCAAAGTCCCATTTTTCAGTTGCTTTTCTTACCTACAGATTACATTTCCCCCCACGGGTTAGTTTGTGTTGTGCGTCTATGGAAGCATAAACGAAGTATCTAGGCAGGGAAACTCACACACATGCTTTGAAGCTTTGAAGTAATAATACATGAAAGGGTTATCGTTGTACTGCATTGGTTTTGCCTGTGTCTTGATGTTACTTGTTTGTTTTTTGGCAGCCATGAAGCTGATGACAGCCCTGGTGAATGTAGCTCTGAACCTGAGCATCAACATGGACAACACTCAGCGCCAGTACGAGGCGGAGAGGAATAAGATCGTGGCCAAAAGAGCTAACGACAGGCTGGAGCTGCTCCTGCAGAAACGCAAAGAGGTGAGGGTGACCACGGCAACTTGCCCCCTTTGTTTAAAAATACCTGAGTACATGCCTTTCGCATTTCAACACACATCAGATGATTCAAATTCTAATTGGATCAGCCCAATCCCGCCAGATGTGGGTGATTTTGAGCTGTGATTTAGTGGCAACTTTGGCAGGAAGTCAACAGGCCAATGTGTATGTAGTGTGCGCTCACTGTGATATGTATGCTCTTTGTTTATGTAATAAAATCCTTCCTTGTACAGAATTGTGGAAAACAGTGTGTTTTGATAGATACAGAGCTATAGTAATAACACAGCAGAGAGCTACGATTATTGTTATTTCCCCCTCGCTCTAGAGTACAAAGATAAACTTCTGCCATTCAAAAGATATTCAGCAAGTGATGTCGGAAAGGAAATTGCATTTTCATTGTTTTTATTCCCATGTAGGCCGAAGTCTGCTTTCCAATTAAATTACCTTTTTTATATAATGCCTTTTTTAACCACTTTTTTCGTAGTTCTCCTTTTCCCAGATAGCCAATTTAATTCAGAGCGGTTGGCTTAAGCGGACAGTCATTCTTTTTGAATTTCTAGTAAAAAAAGAAAGAAACAAGGCGACCTGAAACCCCACTACATCAGTTAAGTTTGTCATTTCGAAGTACCTTGTTTTAATAATCATGGAAAGTGGCTGTTAAGAGAGGTAGGAGTCAAAACATCCGTCAGACCCACTGCTTTTTTTGTACTTCATGTATGACCTAATGTTTAAGCCAAAATTGAACGAGAAACTATAATAGAAATCCAAATGAAACATTGCCCCATCTGCTGATTCACATCATCCTGCCTGACATGTAGTCAAACCATTTAGGTAAGGCCCCTGCAACCGAGCTTACAAATGACACTAATGGATATAAGAGTAAATAATTGTGGATTGCTCCAGCTCGTCCATAAACCTGTTCCATTTTTAGAACTGCAACACCTCTGTAGGTGACGGAGCCGCAGTGACTGTGCTAGTGTAATAGAGAGGCGAAGTCACGCCCTTCTACTTCCGGTCCATGGGACCTTATTTCGGAAAAATTATGTATTGAAGTCAATGGGGACAGAGAGATTATCTTTTGATCCCGTTTGAATTGCTTCCTCTTA